GTAATATACTTTTTGTATAAATCAAAACAGCGGATGACTATTTTTCGTTAACTTTTCCAAAATATATGCTAACTCCTCTAGGGCTGCATAATATCTCAGTATTTCCGGCACTAGAAGGCAGAATAACTGCACCACAAGCCGAATCCCTTGACATAATATCATCCTGTAAAGGATATTATAGGGTGTGTTAGCCAAACTGCTGAATTTACAGGCATCTAGCAACACGTATGTACAAGATCATTACAAAAAAGCCGTCTTGGATTTGGCCATTCCAAACTCTCCTACTGGTATCTGATCGGGCGCATCGACTTCGAGCTTGTACGTTGGGTCAGCTGCATGTCTCCTAAAGATTAGCAATTACAAGTGTAAGCAGGCCTATTATCAATGCTGGCAGCCTTGATTTGGAGTCGTTTTTCCGGCGACCGCGTGCGCCTGGGGGGCCCTACGATGCCACGTAGGGGACAGCAGATGCGCGTGGGCGAGCTGCCGACATTAGTTTTTGGTATAACTCTGGTTCTACCCTTGATATTGTCCCAACTTGCACTAGAAAATTTTTTGCTAGAGTTGATTTACTTACAGAAGCCTACAAATCGTTCGATCCTTGTCTACGGTTTTAGTAGTCGGGCAAATAAGATGTCGTCCGTTACCCTCTGAAAATCAAAGGAAGAAGACTGCATTGTCTCAATTGGTTTGTTGATATGGCCGTCGGCTAGTAAGGGTTTAAATCACTGCCAGGAATGAAGCTGTGGACTCAACATTTATTACAAGACATACAGGAAGTGTTGTCTTCTAGAATAATGGTTGTGTAGGGGTATTCAATCACTTGCTGAACAGATTTTAGCGAATTTATTGAAACTGTGCCCTATAATAGAAGTGAACTGGGAGAGTCTGCAATGATTTGCTTGACCAAGTAATGGGTGCTTGATAATTATTGTCCTATGGTTTAATGCTGGTATAGAGTAGGGAGGGGGGGGTAAGATATAAGGAAGGAAGAAGGAGGGGAGAAGAGAGGAGACCGTGAGACTGAAAAAGAAAAGGATGAAAATTCGCAAGTGGAAGGTAAGATGTGCTTCCGCTCACTGCTGGGTTATGGCACTAGAAGGTTTATTTAAAGCTGCCAGATATTTTATGGGATCTTGTGTAAGATACATGCTGCTGATACAGTTCATAGATAGATTTAGATAGATAGGATAGATAGACTAATTAAGATAGATAGATGGATAGATACTTTCTTTTATCCCGAGGAAAGTCAAGCATCCAGTAGCCATACGAAAATACATACATTAAACATACATTAAAGTAAAATGAAAAACCCTGACCTTAAGAACAGAATCAAAAATAAGATAAGATATAAAGTATTATGTATGTATATAATATATAAAATTAACAGTAGCTATAGTACACATTTTTAATAATAATAATAATAATCATTCATATTCTGTGAAGTCTAAGTCGACTTTTGTTTGACAACAGAAAGAGAAAATGTGTCAATGATCACATGTGTTTTCTGTGATGTTGTCACCCTTCAAGGAAAAGCTTCAAGCATAAACAGAAATATATCTGCTTTTATATTTGCATTGTCTATTTGTAGTTAAAATGGCCCAAAACTCTGTGGGCCCAGCTTCTAAACTGTAAGGATTTGCTGCTTTGCTGCTCTGCTTTGGGCTTGTGATGTTTTACTTAAGAAAACAAATAGACCAAATGGTTAAAAAAAAAAGTAGCTCTAGTGTGATGTAGCATATTATTATTATTATTTATTACAGAAATACCAAATTATTTGCTTGACGTTGTTAAAAATGTGAATTTGTGTTTGTATTCTGGTTTTATGATTGTTGCCGTTCTTAATATTACAATTCCAGATGTGGGTCACATGACCATATGTATTATGAGATGACATGAACTGAAGTATCAGATTTGACTGTTTACAGTGTGATTATAATGGACAGCTCATATCATATCAACAATGGTAGGTGATGACATTTAAAATGAACGTGACGTAGCTCTTCGTATCAGACTCACTGCTGTTTGCTGTCTTCTGTTTGACTGTGACTGAAGCTGGTGGCGGACCGCCAAAAGACTCGCAGGGAAACGGCATCACCTGGACCTCCTCATTGGACAGAAAGATCCAAAACCTGCCGAGTGATGGGAAGGAGAAATCCTCGCTGAAGAGGCTGAAGCATCTTCATCAGGAAAAGGTCCTCACAGAGACACGACTTACAGCACAATACATTGATAAAGAGATTTTATGTGATTGTGATGATAAAGGCACTCTTATGTTTATGTATCTTGTGTAAAATCTATTTCTCTTGGTTTTAGGTGAATCGTATTCGCTCTCAACACCGTATAAACGTGCACGGCTCCGACGTCCCCGACCCTGTGTGCACGTTTGAGGAGCTGCAGTCCGAGTATCGCCTCAACTCGTGTGTCCTCCAGAACCTCAAAGACGCAGGGCTGGACTCCCCAACGCCAGTACAGATGCAGGCGATACCGCTCATGATGCATGTGAGTGCCGACACACACATTCTTTGGTTAGGAAATTGTGTGCAGGCTTACAGGCTGAAGGTTTCAATGTGCCTGGTTTCTTGCTCAGGGTCGGGAGCTGCTGGCCTGCGCTCCCACTGGATCAGGAAAGACTTTGGCTTTCTGTCTCCCGCTGCTCGCCCACCTGCAGCAGCCGGCCAACCTGGGCTTCAGAGCTGTGATCATCTCCCCGACCAGAGAACTGGCCAGCCAGGTACCCAACACACGTGGACACACACAGAATGTTTTCTGAAATACTTCCAGCCCAATTTCTCACAATCAATCATCAATCAACGATAAACGTTATAGTTACTGATATCAAGGAAGGAGACCTGAAGACACGAGTTTCCAGGTTTCGGTTTCGGCTATTGCTTAAGTTGTTTGTTAAATGATGCATGTATTTTTAATTGCTATCAATCCGTTGTGTTGTGTTGTGTTTAGACCTACAGAGAGCTGCTCCGCCTGTCAGAGGGAGTAGGATTTAGAGTTCACATCATAGACAAAGCCTCTCTGGCAGCCAAGAAATACGGACCACAGTCAAACAAAAAATATGGTAAGAAATGGAAACATGTTTCCACGGAAGAGGTGAAATATAAATAAAAAGGGGGAACGTGAATTGCCTTTACCTCAATGTTTACCTCCTACGTTTCTCTGTGCAGATATACTCGTCAGTACTCCAAACAGACTTGTCTTCCTTCTCAACCAGGATCCTCCAGCTCTCGACCTCAGCAGGTAACACTGAATCTCATGCTCTCTGAAACGGTTTCTTTCCCAAAAGTTTCTTCTAAGCGAGCAAAAGTTAGGTTTCACTCACCAAAGCTCCCAGTGTTAATCCTTGAGATCTAACAGATGTGCTCAATGCATTTCCTTCTTCATAAAAACATTTTAACTCCAGCATTGTTTACATCCAGTCTGTCTCTCTTTGAATTACTTGGCTTCACTGAATGTGAACGTTGGTGATCCTGAATATCCTGATTAATACCCAATGAGGTTTATTTGACCGAAATGTTGTATTTATACATATATAACATATATATTATTTTATATTATTGGATTATATCCAAGGTAGACAAATGTCCTCATAAACTAAGCTCCAGTGAAGAAATAAGCCCAAAAGCATTGACACTGAGTCAGAGAGGACACATGAAAAGCCTGGAAGTGTCTCTGCTGACGTATAAAGAATATTTATTACTCTTTATTATGTTATTTTATTGTGAAGTCAGTACGTTTTCCCCGTCAGAATCCTGTAGGAATCATAAATCAGGTTTTCCAGTGATCTTATTGGTTAGTAGACAGGCTATTGGCAGGTTTTGATCTGATTGTCTTAAGTTAACCTGCTCCAAAGCTGTATAGGTTACCATGGTGATCTTTGTGATACCGGAAAACCTGAGTTGAGTCGAAAGCTAGCTGTTTTTGAGGTGCAAGCCGCTCTCTGTCCTCTTCTCGTTTCTTCTGTCTCCACTGTCCACTGATTGATGTGGTCTTCTGTTGCTGTTCAGTGTGGAGTGGCTGATTGTCGACGAGTCCGATAAGCTGTTCGAGGGCGGTAAGACGGGCTTCAGGGAGCAACTGGCCACAGTTTTTCTGGCCTGTTCTAGTTCAAAGGTGCGCAGAGCTTTCTTCAGCGCCACCTGCACGACAGATGTGGAACAGTGGTGCCGTCTGAACCTCGACAACCTGGTGTCTGTCAACATTGGACACAGGTAATAATCTACCTGTAGAACTTACTTTGATGGATTTACGTCAACTTTTTCTTGCATAAGAAAAACGTATTTATCATCCTTGTAGAAATACGGCCGTTGAGTCGGTGGAACAGCAGCTGCTGTTTGTTGGGACCGAGAACGGCAAACTGGTGGCCATGAGGGACATCATCAAAAAAGTAAGGACACTCCAGAGAATCTGCTCTTTGAGCTTATAAATGACTCTATATGAATTATTTTCTGAACTAGATCATCAGCCATGCACATTTTGAATATAGTTACAAAAAGCTTTATAACTAAACTCACTATTCAGGGGGGGAAGAAACACATGGATGAATACACGCTCTATTCCTTTATGACCCAACATTAAATGAAAGGATGTCCTCCTTGCTTTTTTCAGGGTTTCCTGCCACCCATGCTGGTGTTTGTGCAGTCTATAGACCGAGCACGGGAGCTTTTCCATGAGCTGGTGTATGAGGGCATCAATGTAGACGTGATCCACGCAGATCGCACACAGCAGCAGGTACACACACACACACACATACACTCTTAATACAGTGTATTATGGGTCCTTTTTAAAGTGCACCCTTGTATTCATCCTCTGTTCTGTGGCTTTTCTGTTCCAGCGGGACAACGTAGTGAACAGTTTCCGCTCCGGTAAGATTTGGGTATTGATCTGCACGGCTCTGCTCGCCAGAGGAATCGACTTCAAAGGGGTCAACCTCGTGCTGAACTACGACTTCCCCACCAGCTCCGTGGAGTACATCCATAGAATTGGTTAGTTTTTATATATAATCAAACATTAACTGATTAGTCAACGTAATAATCATCATTTATCATGTAAAAAGATCAAACATTTGCTGATTACAGCTTCACAGAAGAATATTTCCTACTTTTATATAATTGTGAATTAAATACCTTTTTAGTTTGGTTTTTGACAAATTTTGGATTTATGCCAGCTGACTCGTTGGCGATATGTCGTTATGTTTAATCCTGTGTGGTTTCCTTTATATATCTGTGCTCCAATCCTCCCTGTCTGCTCATCGCTCCCTCATATATCTTCCTGTTTGCCGTTCCTCAGGTCGGACTGGTAGAGCTGGACATCAGGGGAAGGCCATAACCTTTTTCACAGAAAATGACAAGCCACTGCTGCGCAGGTACGTGGACACATGAACCTCACAGAAAGTTCAGACTGACTTCCTTTGCAGATAAACAAGAACAGATTGTTTTTTTGCGTGCGACTGAAAGTAGTCTGTTTATGTGAAGGCCCAGCTGTGGTTACTAAACAGCAAACATCAGGTGAGGCAGACAGGTCATCAGATAATTAGCGCCAGGCCAAACCTGACATTACTGCTCTGAGGAATGTTTACAACTTTCAGGACCTTGTAAACTAATAGTAGGTACTGGTAGCTACCTCCTGATGTTTGCCAAGCATTTAAAAGCACAGAAGGCCAGTGGACATTTAACCCAGTCGAGTAAAGGTGGAGGACAAAAGCAGCATAGAAAGTGAGGTAGTCCGCACACTCCCAAAATTTTAATGAGACGTTTTCACCTTCAAGTCTTCAAGAGGCAAAAGCAAAGTATTGAAGCCAGTATTCACTGTGAAGGATGCATCAGGACCACTTTACTAAAATAGGTTAAAGATTTACTTGTTTACCTGCTTGTTTCCTGTTGACATCTGCTTTCAACATCAAGGCAAAAAGAAAGAAAGCAATTTGTTAGATAATGTGACGTCTTGTTTAAAATACATGCGTCATTAGTGAACTAAATCAAGCACACCAGCACTGTACTGTACTTTTCTGTGAGCTGTTTTTACAATTTGCACCTTTTTTTTCTGAATGCATTTTTCTTCCAAACAGCATCGCTAATGTAATAAAACAAGCAGGATGTCCTGTACCCGACTACATGATTGGCTTCAAGAAGATACACAGGTAAAAGAGATGGATAAAGATAATAAAGTTCCACAATAACAATACATTTAAAGACCTTTCTGCTCCTTTCTCTCTTGCTAAATTGATGAGTTTCAGTTTTGGTAATACGGTTGTCCGTCTGTTTATGTTTTGTGTTCAGCAAAGTGAAGCGGAGACTTGAGAAGAAACCTCCCAACAGAAGCACCATTTGCACAACTCCTCGCTTCTTAATGAAGAAGAAAGGCAACGCACCGAATAAAGGACAGAAAAGAGAGAAGCGGACAGCGAGTGAAGAGCAGAAAGGGCCGAGCGGATCTCAAACTGCAGTGCAGCAGCAGAAAGGGGAAAAGAAGGCAAAAGGAGAGGGGCTGAAGAAAAGAAATAAAGCACAGCAAGAAAGGGGAACAGAAAAGCACAAGAAGGCTTCTCAGAAAACTGGAGCCAAGTTAAAAAAGTAAGGAAGGTGTTTGTGGGATGTTCTCATCCTGTATATTTAATTTTCAACTCTTATGTGTCCATGTTTATTTAATGGTCTAACTAGATCTGGTTTATGTTATAAGAGCTGCCTTTTTATCTGACAGTGACATTTACACAAACACAATTTTTCCCACTGATGTTTTTTTTGTTTAAAACACATTATCAGTGTTTTTTTTTTAAATAGCCACCTTCTCTAACAAAATAATCTGCTGTCATATAAGTATGACCTATGAAATGTTTTAGATATGCTGCCACCTTATAAAGCACTGACCACTTTTGAAAAGGAAATTATTCTTAATGCCACAACGTATAAAACTAATACTGAAAAATGTCTAGAATATGCTAGAATAAAAAAAACACTGTGGTATTAATACAAATAAAAACATGTGCAATCAGAGTAGTTTGAAAGATGCTAGAATAAAAATACATAAAGTCCTATTTAAATACTGTTTACCCAAATAACAATCAGATATATGGAATGAGTTGGCTTTAGGTTAGGTTTGTAAGATGTGGCACAAGTTGAGGATGTTGGTCAAAAATAGCCTGAACTGGGGCGTCATGGCAGCTGACTGGTAGAGCTGGCGCCTGATGTACTGAGACTGAGAGTCCTTGCTCCAGCGGCTATGGGCTCGAGTCCGGCCTGTACTCCTTTGCTGTGTGTCATCCCCTCTCTCTTCCCCTTTCCTGTCTATCTTGAGCTGCCCTTTCAATAAAGGCAAAAAGCCCCAAATATATATTTAAAAAATAAACAAGATAACTTGAACTAATTACGTTTTTTTTTATTCCCACCAGGAAAAAGGGGAAGAAAAATAAGCCACAGGAGGAATAAAAGAGAAGTGGTACGAGCAGACTGATGGATGTGGATTTTTTTTTTTTTTTTTTGGATTCACTGCTAATTGTCACATTTGTGCTTTGTATTATCAGAGTATAAAATAAAGTGTTTTATATATATATAGTTATTTTGTAGATCTTTCTTGACATTCTTAAAAAAATAAAATAAAGCTGTGGAGTGATTGAGTTGAACTAACAAGGTAGACCCAAGTACACTGAACAAGACAAGGGTTATGAAATCGTTTCAAGCTATTTTTTATATAAATAAAACTATAAAGAAAATTGTGAGAGAGATGAGTCATGGAGTCCCTTAAGATTTTGAATATTCATCAATTACTCTGGAGAAATATTTAGGTTCTATTTAAAGGATAAATTCTAGTTTATATGTCTCGGCTAAATGGAAGATGCAGTTAAAGGTTTATAATAAAGGTTTATTTTATAATATTTATAAAATATTTATTTTCTTTGGTCTACAGCACAGGGATTATATATTTATATATATATATATTATATATTTATATATTTTTTTATTTATATATATGGCTTTTTATTGTTTTATTGCAAACTGGTACAAAGTTAAATACTCTGAACCTAGCAGCAGACGGACTTAACAACTTATCTTTACATGTTAAACTATTCATTATAGTATAGACATATTTTAAAAATAATATATTTAAAGCTCATGGTGGTTCAGTCTTTTGAAATGATAAAGAATTAAAAAAAACTTTCAGGCAATCTGAATTGAAGAAAGCTAACGGGTAGCAAGACAGTTAGTTTGGCAAGATATTTTTCATGGAACAAGCAAATAAAAAAACCCCAAAATAAAAATTGTATGAATATACAGTACCATATTTAACAAATAATTATAAACTTTCACGGCCCTCTGTTTTTAACATAAATAAATGTGGTGCTATATTCAAATAGCTATAGGAAAATGTGTTCAAATGGTTCAAAGCAATTTATTTTAATTTTATGAAACCTTTTGCTAATTCTAAGAAAGTATCTTTTCATCCTGTTGCCTTTAAAACAGAAAACCTAAAAAGAACAAAAGATTATCACTCTAAACTGGACTGATAAACTTTAATAAAACTTAAATACTTTGACAAATTGTTTAAATGCGAATCAATACCTAATAATAATATATTAATCAATGGTATCCGTCTGCACGCTTTCTTAACTATCGCGATACATCTGCCGTGAGATCTCGCCCATGCATTATACTGCAGGAAACCCCGTCCAGTCTTCCTTTCTCAACATGGCACCGAAGGTGAAGAAGGAAGGTTTGTCAACCTAATCATTTTCACTGAATAATTCCCACAATTTACACTAATAACGTCTACAAGATTCACTGGAGCTGCCCGAAATGTGAAGCTGAGCTGACTGGGGTTTAAATAATCTCAGAGTATCGCCGCTAACTCTCTGAATATACAGATAAATCACACACACCGTCTCCGGCATGTAACGTTAGCGGTGTGCTGGAACGTGATGCTAAGCTAATATTAGCATGTTAGCGTTGCAGTTCATTCACAGCTTTATTCTGCATACACAGTCTGTTATGGACACGGTTAGTTTACGTCAAGTCTCAGCAGCCGTCGTTGTTATGTTAGGACATTATTATATAGCTGTTTGGTGATAATAAACAGCATTTGCGTGAACTCGGCGGTGTTTGAAGCGACCCGTTAGCTACACGTGAAAGTTAGCAGTGTTACGTTGCTGCGGCGTTGTAAGAAAACTAAAGACAATGTCCACACTTGGGCCATGTCGTTAGGTGCAGCAAATGTCGGTCCCATAACTAAAGATACTGAAGAGATGTTTGACGTTTTCGTCCACGTCGTGTGTGTCAGTGAGGTGAGACAGATAGTTGAGTGGGAGCTAGTGTGAGTGTTGGTTGTCAGTGACTGAGTTCATTATAAAACCTCAAATATATATATATATATTTATATATATGTATAGTTCTTTAGTCATCCCTAAATAACCGCTGCTGATACTGAAATAAAGATTGGTTTAGCTACTTTAATGTCTTTGCTGGTCAATGTAAATGCAGCTTTTCCTAATCACATTTGACATAATCGGCATACTCCAATGTTTAATTTTAGTTAGTTAAGCTATTATGTCAAATATTGCTAATGTTTTGGTCCTTGTTGCCGTATTTCCTAAGTGTGTGTGCCCTCGGACCGACAGGAGGAGCACAAACTACCTAACGGTCCTAACAAATGCTATTTCTCTGTCGTAGTTGTCCCTGCCAAGACTGAGGCCAAGTCAAAGGCTCTCAAGGCTAAGAAGGCCGTGCTCAAGGGCGTACACAGCCAGAGGAAGAAGAAAATCAGGACTTCTCCCACCTTCCGTCGCCCTAAGACCCTCCGTCTCCGCAGACAGCCCAAGTATCCTCGCAAGAGTGCTCCTCGCAGGAACAAGTGAGTTACAGTGACGGCATGCAGCTGAAGAAATGCAGATTAAACCTGGTGCACATGATGGTAAAAGCGATCAAAGTATGAAAAAACATGATTCCAGCTTTCTAAACTACTGATGCGTCCAACTCAAACATTTGTTTGTAGATGTTTGAAGTTGAGAACAAGCAGGAAAGGCTTATATGGAAGTGTGAGAGCTAATGTGTGTTTTCTTCTGTAGGTTGGATCACTATGCCATCATCAAGTTCCCCTTGACAACAGAGTCCGCCATGAAGAAGATCGAGGACAACAACACACTTGTGTTCATTGTTGACGTCAAGGCAAACAAACACCAGATCAAGCACGCTGTCAAGAAGCTGTACGACATCGACGTCGCCAAAGTCAACACACTCATCAGGTAGAAATGTTAACCCGGACCAAAATGAATACCAGTTTCGTGTTGTCCTGTTAGAAATTGAATTACTGGACACTATTTGGCTCACACCGTCTTAAACATTCATTCATAATTAAACCAGAACATTCATTAATGGTATCAGCTCACAGGAACGTCTGTCGTTTTTGTTGTGAACAAATTTAGTAGTTGATTGCTGGACAAAATGTACCTCTTTACATTACATGTGGTTTTATTTACTATTGTACATCTAAACTTGAGCATAGATTTAGCTTACCACCCTCCTTTCAATGGTCCGTCTTATGTGTGTGTGTTGACCCATGTTAGCGCCGATTAAAAGAAGGGCGTAGTTGCGTGCGCCGCACCATGTAGATGGGTTGGATGTTGCCAAATCAATGAGGGCATTCGATTGAAAGCCAGTGCAGTTCAACACAGTTGTTGTATTTGCTTTCAGAAGTTGTCAAACCTGTGCAAGTGATGTAAACTTTTATTTGATCTGAATGTTTATGATGCATTCAAAGGAACCACTGATGCCAGATAGTGCAGGTACAGACGTATTCACAGTATTGATGAACATTGTGTAATTCGTTTCCCTTTTTCTTTTTGTACAGATTGGCATCATCTAAACTGTGGCAGAAGAGACTTGTGGAAGAATAAATATTTGTATAAACCTCATTTCAGTGTCGGTGTGTTTTATGAGTCTTGACACATGTGACACATGGATACATGCAGTAAATGAGGTTTGACATACTTTTATCACCACTGCCTGACTTTTTTACAATCTACAATTTCAGGGTTTTTCTCTGAGATGAATTACCAAAGTAAAGTTACTTTAGGGGAGTGTGTGTTTGACGGAAGTGTCTGAAAGCATCTCCTAACAATACCACCTTGTTTAGCATTTAACAGGGCTTCCGTTCAGATTTACACTTACAGCTGCCATGATCGCTGTCAGTGTATTGGAGTCGTGCAGTGGTTTTTGGTCTACCACAGATGTGAAGGTGGTTTCAGGCGTCAAAATCTTGTTTGTAGAAAGCAACATAAGCTTATGTTAGGTCAGTTGAGCTCCTGTATGTGTGATGCATTGACAAAAGGTTTATTTCTTGTCCTGGGTGTAGGAAGGTCGCTAATAGCAGCTGCTTGGTTTAGCATCTTCAAACTTGTACTATTCTATAATGTTGACATCTTGTAGAATTGCTGTATTTTTATTTTTAAGTTAGGCTCTAGTAATGCTAAGCAGAATTTAAAAAAAACAAAAAAACCCTGCTGGTACAACTTCCCTTAGCAGGTAATAGCTGTGCTTGTTGAACTAGAATCTTTTAACTACAGTAAAAGATTTTGCTGATTGTAGTGGGGCGATACATTGATTAAAAAATCAAGGCAAAAACGCCTGAATTATAAAATAGACTTAAACTAGATATTTTCACATACAGCTACTAAGGACTATTAAACAGCAACAATCCAGTCAAGTCTAATATCTATACAGAACATGTCGAATCATTATCCTTTAGTATCCCATTGTGAAGAAGGAGCCTCAGTGATCAGTCATTACAGTTGCAGTGCTGATTCATGATAAAGATATGTTTGGTTTTTAAGAAAAATGATTTAAATCAGGTGTGAAGTCTGAGTTTTTTTTAAAAAAATGTATCACCCAGCCCTGCTGACGATAGGTACGCTACATTAAACTTATAACGTGTATATATACAGTATATTGTTTTTACATCCACTGAATATGAGCGAGTGTAGACCACATCACTCAAAGTTTCCAATGCAGCACAAGACTACATGTCACTGTCCAGGCTGTGAAAAGGCCCACGGCATGTTTAACTTGTATGTTTTACTTCATGAAGGATTGAACTTTTATTACAGAACAGACTATATACAAGTTTTATGTGAAAATAAATTCCAGACTGTAGTTGGAGATATAGGGCGTACAGCAATTCACAAAAGTCAGTTTAATTTGAGAGGTGGGTGATGTGAAGATTCTGTTTATCATACAGAAAATCAGCATATGCCTCACATTTATAGTTTATTTCTCCTAGTTTGAGTGTTTCTCAATATAAACAAGAAGTAGTCAAAACAGAAGACCCGCAGTACTTCTGTTAACTTCATAATGTCTCATTTTTTAGGGGACATGATGTAACTTAGTAATTTCTTGTCTACTTGTGACCACTGTGCTTTATTTGAGATTTTCCATAACAAGGTGGATGACTACCGTATTACAAACATGAATCAACATCTCGTGTCAGTTGATCAGACCTGCGTAGCTGCTTCTGTAAACGTGATCTACAGCAGTTGCTGACGGGACTCGACACACTGTCACCTGAGCATTAAACCATCAATCTGATACTTACCACAGTGCTGCTGTTACAAATCAAAGTTTAATACAATGTTATTTTAGAAACAATTTATTGAAGTTTTTGTTTCACGCGTTAAGTTTATTGTAATGAACAGTTCACTGCATTGAACACCAATTGATTTATTTTTTTAATACATTGTTGTGATATTTACTGATAACATGATGTGAATATGGCCAACAATAGCACAATACTAATCTCAAACATATCACTCAGCCCTAATGATGAAAGCCAGCTGACGTGTGTAAAAACCAATCTCATATTGTACTGAACATCACAATTTACTGTATTTTACATCTCTTATCAAATAAATGTAGGTCTGTAAGTGTTATCTGGTTATTTAGATAAATGATGTAGAAACTTGGTGACATCATAAATGTCTCTTAGGATTAACATGAACAGGTAAGTCACATATTAGGCAACGGGGGGGAAAGCACAGCACCCTTCCTGCTCTCTCCAATAAATAAAGATTTCTATTGCTTACATTCAATCACATTGTTCTGAAACTGAGCGGCTCACAGCCTGCAGGTTATGAGAGGAAGGTTCGGACTGTGCCTTTAACCAGGCCTCTGCAGATTGGGCACTTTCGCAGTGACGGCGCACACTCTTTGCACACCACCAGGTGTCCACATGGGATGAAGACGATGTTCACTTCTTTATCCATACACACCTTGCAGGTACGCTCTTCCTGCAGGCGCCGCAGCTGCTCCTCCATGGGGAGGTCTGAAAAGAAAAATAAAGGATTAATTCATCCATCTTTCACTCCCAACATGTTGGTCTGCATTCCTGCCTGAAATCTAAGTATCATGTTTATGTTGAGTGTTATTAACCGTTTCTTTTCAACAGGTTACATCACTGTTCATCTCTACATTAAATTGCTCCACCCAGTATTTGTGGCTATAACCTATTAACACAGAAAATACTGCTTTAGACGAAGGAAATATTGTTTCATGTAACATTTACGTCTAGGAATTTCACATCATCGTACAGATGTTAAGTAAGGACTGATACATTTTTAAAAATAAAAGCTACAAAGTGCCTTACAGTTTAAAATAATTCAACACAAAACAATAAGCTGGCAGGATATTGAGTTCTGCCTGAGGCTCAGGTGTGTCTGTATACCTGAGAGATCTTGGCTTGGCGATGCTGCTTCATTTGATTGGGCTGAAAATGTGAAAGAGAACATGTAGTTAGCTCAGTCTTTAATGCAAAACAAAAACAAATATACTCTCAATGAAAACATGTATTTGCACCTCTGAAGAGCTATCTCGTGCTTACAGGACTAGTGTGTAGGATTTAGAGGCATCTAACAGTGAAGTTGCAGATAGCAACCGACTGAATACCACTCGTTCCAAGTGTGTAAGAGAAACTACAGTGGCCATGAAAATTTATGGGTAAAAAACACCAAAGGCCTAATCGAGAGCGAGTGTTTGGTTTGTCTGTTCTGGGCTTCTGTTGAAACAAGGCTGACTTCATAAAACAGGACCTGCTCTGTCTATAGATAAAAACATCTAACATGACCATCCCTCTGTTCAGGTGATTATACACTAAAACAATATAATGAAAATATTATATTCCCTTTCTGCCAATCGAGCCTCCTAAATGTTACACACTAGAACTTCAAATGTTTCTACGTCCTTTCTGTGACAAGTGTTGTCACAAAGCCTGGGGTTGTGACGTACCCATGAGGTCTCTGAGCAGGTGGACATCGTTTTTCTGGATCCAGTTGCGGAAGACCTCGGCCGTGGCGTTTCCCTTGGTGAGTACGAGCTCTATCAGCCTGGCAGTTTGCTGTTGGGCAGATGTCTGAGCCTTGAGGCCGCTGTACTCCTCGGTAGCTGCGGGTTAACGGGAAGAAGAGTTACTCACAATCACAGCCACAGCTGTATGATACAATCATCACTCCAATTATTCTCTGATAATTTGCTAAAATGTTGTTTGTCCGTCATAAAAATAAATTCTTCAAGTTAAATTTTACAAGTATAGCGCCAAATATTAACAGAAGGTTATTTACAGAGACCCAACAGTTCCCACCACTGGCAAGCACTTGGCGACAGTGGCAAGGAAAAACCTTTTTTTATTAGCATCCATATAACCACTGAAATCAAACTGAAAACAGAAAAAGGAGAAACCTACACAACACATTTTGCTCTCTTAAATGCTCCAACACTGGCTCGACGCTCTTCAGACGCTGGATCAGTGCTGCCTGGTGTCTCTTCACGAAGGTGAAACCATCTGAAGCAAGAAGGAATTTATTGTTCATGGTCTTTAAATGTTCACTGGCCTTAGAGCTGCTGATTCTAACACATTACATTTTCACCACCAGCTGTACCTGATGCCATCGCCTCCGCCAGCATCTCTCGTTCTTCTTCCCTTTTCTGGTCCTCTGCACTCAGCAGGTCTGAAACCAGCTCCTGAACTGTTCTGTAGTTCTCTCCACTGGTCAGGATCTTGCTCTGCACTGTTTGCTTGACTAGACTACGCTCGAAGCCCATCTCTAACGCAGACTTAATCACAGGGGTGTTCATCATGACAGCGTCCTCAGACCGCTCCTCTCCTGGACCGAGGTGAACCACTGAGAGGAAGACAACGCAACGTCAAGATCAGTGATATATTCTATGTTGTGTAAAGTCTAAACTCTTCACAAAATTC